GGAGCTCTGTAGCATTTCTGATATTATATGTAGATGACATATTGTTAATTGGAAATGATATAGAATTTACGGATAGCATAAAAGGATACTTGAATAAAAGTTTTTCGATGAAAGACCTCGGTGAAGCTGCTTACATATTAGGCATCAAGATCTATAGAGATAGATCAAGACGCTTGATTGGACTTTCACAAAGCACATACCTTGATAAAGTTTTGAAAAAGTTCAATATGGATCAGGCAAAGAAAGGATTTTTGCCTGTATTACAAGGTGTGAAGTTGAGTCAGACTCAATGCCCGACCACAGCAGAAGATAGAGAGAAAATGAAAGATGTTCCCTATGCTTCAGCCATAGGCTCTATCATGTATGCAATGCTGTGTACCAGACCTGATGTATGCTTAGCAATAAGTTTGGCAGGGAGGTACCAAAGTAATCCAGGAGTGGATCACTGGACAACGGTCAAGAATATCCTGAAATACCTGAAAAGGACTAAGGATATGTTTCTCGTTTATGGAGGTGACAAAGAGCTAGTCGTAAATGGTTACGTCGATGCAAGCTTTGACACTGATCCGGACGATTCTAAATCGCAAACCGGATATGTGTTTATATTGAACGGTGGAGCTGTCAGTTGGTGCAGTTCTAAACAAAGCGTCTTGGCGGGATCTACATGCGAAGCGGAGTATATAGCTGCTTTGGAAGCAGCAAATGAAGGAGTCTGGATGAAGGAGTTCATTTTCGATCTAGGTGTCATACCTAGTGCATCGGGACCAATGAAGATCTTCTGTGACAATACTCGTGCAATTGCCTTGGCAAAGGAATCCATATTTCACAAGAGGACCAAGCACATCAAGAGACGCTTAAATTCCATCCGGGGCCAAGTCCAGGTGGGAGACATAGATATTTGCAAGATACATACGGATCTGAATGTTGCAGACCCGTTGACTAAGCCTCTTCCACGAGCAAAACATGATCAGCACCAAGACTCCATGGGTGTTAGAATCATTACTGTGTAATCTAGATTATTGACTCTAGTGCAAGTGGGAGACTGAAGGAAATATGCCCTAGAGGCAATAATAAAGCTATTATTTATTTCCTCATATCATGATAAATGTTTATTATTCATGCTAGAATTGTATTAACCGGAAACATGATACATGTGTGAATACATAGACAAACTTAATGTCACTAGTATGCCTCTACTTGACTAGCTCATTAATCAAAGATGGTTATGTTTCCTAACCATAGACATGTGTTGTCATTTGATTAACGGGATCACATCATTAGGATAATGATGTGATTGACTTGACCCATTTCGTTAGCTTAGCACTTGATCGTTTAGTATGTTGCTATTGCTTTCTTCATGACTTATACAAGTTCCTATAACTATGAGATTATGCAAATCCCGTTTACCGGAGGAACACTTTGTGTGCTACCAAACGTCACAACGTAACTGGGTGATTATAAAGGAGCTCTACAGGTGTCTCCAAAGGTACATGTTGAGTTGGCGTATTGATTAGGTTTTGTCACTCCGATTGTGGGAGAGGTATCTCTGGGCCCTCTCAGTAATACACATCACTATAAGCCTTGCAAGCAATGTAGCTAATGAGTTAGTCACGGAATGATGCATTACGTAACGAGTAAAGAGACTTGCCGGTAACGAGATGGAACTAGGTATTGAGATACCGACGATCGAATCTCGGGCAAGTAACATACCGATGACAAAGGGAACAATGTATGTTGTTGTGCGGTTTGACCGATAAAGATCTTCGTAGAATATGTAGGAGCCAATATGAGCATCCAGGTTCCGCTATTGGTTATTGACAGGAAACAGTTCTAGGTCATGTCTACATAGTTCTCGAACCCGTAGGGTCCGCATGCTTAAGGTTTCGATGATAGTTATATTATGAGTTTATGAGTTTTGATGTATCGAAGTTTGTTCGGAGTCCCGAATGAGATTACAGACATGACGAGGAGTCCCGAAATGGTCGAGACATGAAGATTGATATATTGGAAGCCTATATTTGGATATCGGAAGTGTTCCGGGTGAAATCGGGATTTTACCGGAGTACCGGGAGGTTACCGGAACCCCCCGGGGGCTTAATGGGCCTACATGGGCCCTAGTGGAGAGGAAGAGAGGAGGCAAGGGCTGGCCGTGCCCCCTCCCCCCAGTCCGAATAGGACAAGGAGAGGGGGGCGGCGCCCCCCTTTCCTTCCCCTCTCCCTCCTCCTTCCCCCCTTCTCCTATTCCAACTCGGAAAGAAGGGAGTCCTACTCCCGGTGGGAGTAGGACTCCCCCTTGGCGCGCCCTCCTTGGCCGGCCGCCCCCTCCCCCTTGGCTCCTTTATATACGGGGGCAGGGGGCACCTCTAGACAAAACAATGAAGGAAATGTGCCATAGAGGCAATAATAAAGTTATTATTTATTTCCTTATTTCATGATAAATGTTTATTATTCATGCTAGAATTGTATTAATCGGAAGCATAGTACATGTGTGAATACATAGACAAACTTAATGTGACAAGTATGCCTCTACTTGACCAGCTTATTAATCAAAGATGGTTATGTTTCCTAACCATAGACATGTGTTGTCATTTGATTAACGGGATCACATCATTAGGAGAATGATGTGATTGACTTGACCCATTCCGTTAGCTTAGTACTTAATCGTTTAGTATGTTGCTATTGCTTTCTTCATGACTTATACAAGTTCCTATAACTATGAGATTATGCAACTCCTGTTTACCGGAGGAACACTTTCTGTGCTACCAAACGTCACAACGTAACTGGGTGATTATAAAGGAGCTCTACAGGTGTCTCCAAAGGTACATGTTGAGTTGGCGTATTTCGAGATTAGATTTTGTCACTCCAATTGTCGGAGAGGTATCTCTGGGCCCTCTCGGTAATGCACATCACTATAAGCCTTGCAAGAAATGTAGCTAATGAGTTAGTTACGGAATGATGCATTACGTAACGAGTAAAGAGACTTGCCGGTAACGAGATTGAACTAGGTATTGGATACCGACGATCAAATCTCGGGCAAGTAACATACCGATGACAAAGGGAACAACGTATGTTGTTATTCGGTTTGACCGATAAAGATCTAGAATATGTAGGAGCCAATATGAGCATCCAGGTTCCGCTATTGGTTATTGACCGGAAACAGTTCTAGGTCATGTCTACATAGTTCTCGAACCCATAGGGTCCGCACGCTTAAGGTTTCGATGACAGTTATATTATGAGTTTATGAGTTTTGATGTACCGAAGTTTGCTCGGAGTCCCGGATGAGATTACGGACATGACGAGGAGTCTCGAAATGGTCGAGGCATGAAGATTGATATATTGGAAGCCTATATTTGGATATCGGAAGTGTTCCAGGTGAAATCGGGATTTTACGGGAGTACCGGGAGGTTACCGGAACCCCCCGAGAGCTTAATGGGCCTATATGGGCCTTAGTGGAAATAGAGGGTAGCAAGGGGGTGTGGGGCACGCCCCCCAAGGCCCAAACCGAATTGGTTTAGGGCAAGGGGGCCGGCCCCCCTCTTTCCTTCTCCTCCTCTCCCTTTCCTTCCCCTCTCCTAGTCCAACAAGGAATGAGGGAGTCCTACTCCCGGTGGGAGTAGGACTCCCCATGGCGCGCCCCCTCCTAGGCCGCCCCCCCTTGCTCCTTTATATACGGGGGCAGGGGGGCACCTCTAAGACATAACAATTGATCTCTTGATCTCTTAGCCGTGTGCGGTGCCCCCCCTCCACCATAGTCCTCCTCGATAATATTGTAGCAGTGTTTAGGCGAAGCCCTGCGACGGTAGAACATCAAGATCATCACCATGCTGTCGTGCTAATGGAACTCTCCCTCGGCACTCGGCTGGATCGGAGTTCGAGGGACGTCATCGAGCTAAACGTGTGCTAGAACTAGGAGGTGCCGTAGTTTCGGTGCTTGATCGGTCGGGCCGTGATGACGTACGACTACATCAACCGCGTTGTTCTAACGCTTCCGCTTTCGGTCTACGAGGGTACGTGGACAACACTCTCCCCTCTCGTTGCTATGCATCACCATGATCTTGCGTGTGCGTAGGAAAATTTTGAAATTACTACGTTCCCCAACAAACAATTGATCTTTTGATCTCTTAGCCGTGTGCGGTGCCCCCCTCCACCAAAGTCCTCGATAATATTGTAGCGGTGCTTAGGCGAAGCCCTGCGACGGTAGAACATCAAGATCGTCACCACGCCGTCGTGCTGACGGAACTCTTCCCTGACATTCTGCTGGATCGGAGTCCGGGGATCGTCATCGAGCTGAACGTGTGCTAGAACTCGGAGGTGCCGTAGTTTCGGTGCTTGATCGGTCGGGCCGTGAAGACGTACGACTACATCAACCGCGTTGTTCTAACGCTTCCGCTTTCGGTCTACGAGGGTACGTGGACAACACTCTCCCCTCTTGTTGCTATGCATCACCATGATCTTGCGTGTGCATAGGAATTTTTTTGAAATTACTACGTTCCCCAACACCGACATGGTCTGTAGGTGGACGGGGTCGGAGAGGTAGTGGGGTAGAGAGCCGACACAGAGGGAGGATGTTGACCGGCGCCTCCTGTAAGCTAGGAACCGAAAGGGAACGCGGTTTCGAGCTGCCGGAGATGGAGCCGCCATAACATCGGTGAGCTTAAGCAGCGGGAGGGGGTGCAACAACCGAAGCTCCAGGGCCAAAACCACGCCAGAAAGCCATGGACACTGGAGAACGCATGTCCGTCACTGCCGGGATTGGAACGATGCCGACAAGGATCCACCACGAAGCTTCAACCGCCTGCCAAGAAAAACCACTATGACCATTGACCCGCAGAAGTCGCCACCACAACTCAGAGGAGGTGCCGCCAGATATGGAGAGTAGCCTCCACAGAGGCATGGACACGTCTCGACTAGCCAAATCACCTCCACCCAAGGGCCTCACTCCCCCCCCCCAAAACAGTAGCTCACAGAGGAAGACTTGCACCGACGGGGGAGGAGCATCCATGGGCGTGGCTGCGCTACCACGCCGGAGCGGAAAGGGAGGACACAACAGTTGGAGGAGGAGCTGCGCGCAGTGCGCCAAATTGGATCTGGGGGCGGCTTGGGTGGTTTCCGACACGAGGGAGACGAAACAACCCTACCACCACCAACCCCGGGCGTGGCACAGCTTCACCGGCCGGCCCTCCTATGGCAACGATAGGGGAGAGAGTGTCAGTGCTGGAGGAGTGGCAATGCATATATACATGCAACCAACAAACCAAAAATATGCAAGTATGATATAAACAAAGATCCTTAAAGTATTCAAATACTATATTTCTGGACTTGCTAACCTGATTGTCGACGGTTGGCTTTGAAATCTTCAAAAATATATCACATGTTCATGTATTTCAATATTTCTTATTAGTAACACCGGATTAATGTCACATATTGTGAGATTATAGTCACTTACGTTATTGGACTATAATAACTTCGTTACCATGTTATTGAATGCCATTCTTCACCCATGTAAAATTTACCAGCTATTGCATGTTTTCAACTCCCCCAAGACATTGACTCGTTACGTAGCTCGTGGTGTGACCCATCTGTTGCAGGAGACACATGTCAGTCTCTCCTGTTCGTTATGTAGTCTCTCGGCCTTACTTTTTCTAATCCCATACTGACGATCTTAACTTGCACTTTCTAGGTATGCACCTTGATGAAAGCCGACCTCCCATATATCCAAGTTGGACGACGACTCGAGGTGCCTCATGGGGCATCAGACATGCCAATGTGGTGCTAGCCTTTAACTTCACCACACACTAGTTACCCATGATGTTCATGAAGTCGGCTTTCAACATATCACAAATCACCAGTTGCTCTGCATCCGGGAAGATGTCTACGCCCATGTGCGAGTTCGCTAGCTATGGGTGGTAGACGAGTTTGGGGTTTCCGGTGTGGGGGCTCGATAAGGTGTTCTCCAAGAGCGTTGTAGGGTCGCTCCGGGGAGACAAGGAGATTGCGCCATTCATGCAGTTCGTACCCGCATCGCATATATGTTGTGTCGTGATGGATGGCACAAATAAGTTCGTGTGGTCGAGCCACAAGGACGGTAGGATCCGATCATGGTCCTCTCAACGATGGTGGTAGCTGCAGCAGATGGTAGCCACAATACAACATGTTCATGGAGGTTTTGACATGAAGAACACTCCAATGCTCTCGGAGAAATTATGACCCAACGGGTTGTAACAGCGGTCTTCCACCATTCCTCTTAATTAAATGCCCAGCTCTCCCGCATTCTTTCAAGAAAAAAAATGGTGACCAAGCGGGGGGTTGTACATGCCCTAGGCTCTATTTTTTTAGCCGAACTAGACGAACGCTTCAGTGAAAGACTTGTGGGAAAACATCCGTCATTGTTGACGAAAAACCTCCCTACCGATGCATTTTGACATCCCACAACTTCAATCGTGGCTTATGCCTTAATTTATTACTTCCTCCGTCCAAAAATACTTGTCATCAAAATGAATAAAAATGATTTTGATGACAAATATTTTCAGACGGAGGTAGTACCTAATAATTGAGTAAATTAATCTCTATTCTAAAAGAATGGACATAAAAATCATTCTAATTTTGTTGGGACGGTTCACGAAAGCACTCCTGAAATATTAGGGCCAACTAGATCTGACCATGGGAAGCCCGGCCCGGCCCGAAAAAGCTCGACCCGACGCTGCCCCCGGGCCGGGCTCGGGCCTAGATTTTGAGCCCGAAGGCCGAACCAGCCCGGGCTCGGGCCCGCCGTTTTCGCATTTCTCTGAAGGTCGGGACGAGCCCGCCGGGAGCCTGACGGGCTTTTACGTGTTTGGGCCGGGCTCGGGCCCAGAAAACAGGCCCGATGGCCGGGCCGGGCCGGGCTCGGGCTTGGTTTTTTTCTTCAGGCTTGGCTAGGCCCGGCCAGAGGTATGGCCAGGTATAGGGCCAATTGAAACCCTCTCCAGTGTTCAAAAAAATAAATAAATGAAACCCTCTCCAACCACAGGATTTAGGGATCGAACCCGTGTTCCCCAAAAGCAAACAGGTCCGACCACGGAAACGCGACCACGCTCGATTCGCCACCGCCACCGCCGCCGCCGGCGCCGTGCCTCCCTCCCTTGCCGCAGCTCCACCACTCTCCTTGCTTGCATCTGGCAACGCGCCGCACTCCGCCTCATTCCCCCCGCTTTAATCCGGTGACAGACTGTGGGACGGATGACGCCCCTTTGTTCTTGCTGATGACAGCGGCGGTGGCGGCACTGTTGAGGAGAACCAAGCACGCAGATCGGCGGTGGCTGGGCCCCTTACTGGATACTGATTCATCTTCATCTCCCTGGCGTGAAAATCTGAGGTGTGCTAATTGATTTTCGGTGTTTAGGTTTAAATCCATCTTCTTTGTTAGATAATAACGAGAAATAAACGAGACAGAGAGACACGGATTTTTACGTGGAAACCCTTGCGGGAGAAAACCACGGACGCACGAAGGCGCAATCACTATGAGGAGGAGTATTACAAGCACGAGACGACAGACCGTCTGAAGTGCGACTACATGGGGTATATAAGACGGCAATACATGAGAGTCCTTGGAGGACAAGTAAACGAGTTGTACTCGTACGCGTCGACGTCAACGCAAAGGCCCACACCATTTGTACTATGTCTAGTCCAACACGGTACTAGAATTTAGATCATAATTTAACAATCTCCACCTTGATCCAAATTCCCTCCAGTAGTCGAAGAAAGTGAATAACTCCATCCAAATGAGCATAAACACCTTGTGCGTCAAAGTCCATCGGACTAGTGAGAAATACTAACTAAGCCTGAGCAAAGCTCAAACTTATTGGTAGGAACTGGCTTTGTCATCATATCAGCAGGATTATCATGAGTACTTACCTTGCATACCTTCAAATCACCTTCAGCAACAACATCTCAAATATAGTGATATCTGACATCAATGTGCTTTGTCCTCTCATGATACATTGGATTATTTGTAAGATATATGGCACTTTGACTGTCAGAAAATATGGTAGGGCAAGATGAATCTCCACAAAGCTCAGTGTACAAACCTCTCAACCAGATAGCTTCTTTGCATGCCTCAGAAATAGCCATATACTCGGCATCAGTAGTGGAACAAGCCACAATAGACTGCAAAGTTGCTCTCCAACTCACAACACAACCACCAATGGTGAAAACATAACCTGTGAGTGATCTTCTCTTATCCAAATCACCAGCAAAATCAGAATCAACAAAACCAACAAGTCCATCTCTAGTTTTCCCAAACTGTAAATAAGCATTAGAAGTACCACGCAGGTATCTGAAAATCCACTGAACTGCTTTCCAATGCTCTTTTCCAGGATTAGCCATGTATCTACTCACAACACTCAATGCATATGATAAGTCAGGACGAGAACAAACCATGGCGTACATAAGTGAACCAACTGCACTTGAATAGGGAACTCTAGACATGTACTCAATATCTGCATCTGACTTAGGACATAAAGTTGATGATAATTTGAAGTGTGCAGCTAACGGTGTACTCACCGGCTTGGCATTATGCATATTAAAACGACGAAGAATTTTATCAATATATCCCTTCTGACTTAGATATACTTTTCCAGACGGTCTATCTCTGGATATTTCCATGCCAAGTATTTTCTTTGCTGCACCCAAATCCTTCATCTCAAATTCATTTCTCAATTGCTTCTTTAGTTCATTAATCTCTGACATACTCTTTGCAGCAATAAGCATATCATCAACATAAAGGAGCAAATAAATAGTTGAACCATTGACAGTTTTCAAATAAACACAACTATCATAATTAGACCTTTTGAAACCTTGAGAGAGCATAAAGGTGTCAAATCTCTTGTACCACCGTCTAGGGGATTGCTTCAATCCATAAAGAGATTTCTTTAACTTGCAGACAAGCTTTTCTTTCCTCTTCTTTTCCAGGAATAACAAAACCTTCAGGTTGTTCCATATAAATATCCTCTTCTAATTCTCCATGTAAGAATGCAGTTTTAACATCTAATTGTTCAAGCTCAAGATCATGCATGGCAATAATACTGAGTAAAGTGCGAATAGAGCTATGCTTCACAACAGGAGAAAAGACTTCGTTATAGTCAATACCTGGAATCTGGCTATAACCTTTAGCAACTAACCTTGTTTTATATCTTGTCTCATCATTAGGAGAAACACCTTCTTTCCTTTTGAAAACCCACTTGCAACGAATAGGTTTCTTCTCTCTAGGCAATTTTACTAAATCCCAAGTGCCATTCTTTTCAAGTGATTCCATCTCATCATGCATAGCGGTCATCCACTTATTACTATCACCAGAAATAATAGCCTCGGAATATGAAGAAGGCTCAGAATTACCTTCAATTTCTTCTGCAACAGATAAAGCAAAAGAAACAATATTGCACTCTTCAATTAACCTGTCAGGTTTATTAATACCCCGTCTAACTCTGTCACGTGCAAGATTCCAACTGGGTGGAATAATAGGCTGATTTGGAGTGGGAGTGACATGCTCATCATCAATGACGGGTTCATCATGTGCATCAACAATTTCATTACCAGATGTATCACCTGTTTCAATAACATGCTCCACCTGAACAGTAGACTGCTGAATAGTAGGCTGCTGTTCACTCTCAACAGGAACATTAGTAGATGGAACATCATGTAACATAGCAGATTCATTAAAGATAACGTTTCTGCTAATAACAACCTTCTGGGTTTCAGGATTCCATAATTTAAAACCTTTAACACCAGACTTATAACCAAGAAAGATGCACTTAACAGCCCTAGGCTCCAACTTTCCATTATCAACATGAGCATAAGCAGTGCAACCAAAAACTCTCAACTGTGAATAATCAGCAGGTGAACCAGACCATACCTCAATTGGAGTTTTCTTATTAAGAGCAATAGATGGTGAACGATTAATGAGATAACAAGCAGTGGAAGCGGCCTCAGCCCAAAAAAGCCTATGCAAACCTGCATTGGACAACATGCAATGGGCTCTGGAAATAATGGTCCTGTTCATATGCTCAACAACACCGTTTTGTTGAGGAGTATAAGGAACGGTGTAATGTCTGAGAATGCCTTCAGACTTGCAATAATTCTTAAATTGCTTAGAACAGAATTCCATACCATTATCAGTGCGAAGTATTTTTACCTTCCTTTTAGATTGTCTTTCAACCATAATCTTCCACTCCTTAAAAGCTGAGAATGCTTCATATTTATGCTTCAAGAAATAATACCAAACTTTTCTCGAATAATCATCAATAATAGTCAGCATGTAACTTGCACCACCTAGTGACTTCTTGCGAGATGGTCCCCATAAATCAGAATGCACATAATCAAGAATACATTCAGTTGTATGGGTCGAAGTATTGAACTTCACCCTCTTGTGCTTGCCGAAGATACAATGCTCACAAAATTTCAATTTACCAAGTTCATATCCATCAAGGAGACCTCTCTTATTTAACTCTGCTAAACCAAGTTCACTCATATGTCCAAGACGCATATGCCAAAGGTTAGCAACATCACAATCAAAATTCTTTGAAACAACTGGAGTAGCGTTACCTGAAACAGTAGAACCTCGAAGGTAATAAAGACCATTGGTCGAACTTAAGTCACCTTTCATCACAACAAGGGAACCTTTGGTGACCTTCAAAATACTATCTCCACCTGAATATTTGTACCCCTTTGCATCAAGGGCACTCATAGAAATAAGATTTCTCTTCATCTTCGGAATATACCGAACATCTGTCAAAGTTCTAATTATGCCATCGAACATCTTGATTCGAATAGAACCTATGCCTTCAATCTTGCATGGTGAGTTATCAAAACCCAAAGCGGAACCAACAGCAGTAGTGGAATCAAAAGTATTAAACCAATCTCTATGTGGACACATATGAAAAGTGCATGCGGTGTCAAGTACCCACTCATCATTGGTCTCAGCACATCCAGCAATAACGACAAGAGCATCATCGGAACTATCATCACGAGCAACGTTAGCAGAATTTTCACCTTGTTTGTTACATTTCCTCTTTTCCTTGTTCTGCAACTTGAAACACTCTGAGATGTCATGCCCGTCTCTCTTGCAATACCTGCAATACTTCTTGTCTCTGGATTGCGACCAGCCCCTGTAGCCGTTTTTACTTTTGCCTCTGTTTCCATTATTGGAGTTCTTCTTCTTTGTCCTGCCACGAACAGATAATCCCTTTGCTTGGGATGAACTCGAACCATCATGAGGCACCATTAATTTTATCTTCTCCTTAGAGTTCAAAGCTTCATAAACTTCATTAAGCGTGAGAGTATCACGACTGTATAATATGGTGTCTCTAAAATTGGTATAAGAACTTGGCAGTGAACAAAGTAACATTAAAGAAGTATCTTCCTCTTCATACTTAACCTCTATTGCAGCTAGATCAGATATGATCTCTTTAAATTCTGAAATATGATTCAAAACATTACCTCCCTCGGGTAACCTGTGCAGGAATAATTTTTGCTTCAGATGCATCTTGCTGGTGAGATCTTTAGTCATGCAAATCCCTTCCAGCTTTAACCATAGAGCGGCGGCAGTTTTCTCGCTCAAAACTTCCTGCAAAATATTATTATGCAAATGGAGTTGAATTTTTGACAAAGCCTTACGATCAATTTTTTTCTCCTCGTCAGTCCAGTCCTCAATTCGGTTCTTTCCAAAACTATCCAGTGCTTCATCATAGTCGATCTGTGCCAACAACGCCCGCATCTTGACTTGCCATAGGGTAAACCTTGTGTCACGGTCCAGCGGCGGAAGATCGTACTTCATGGATGCCATGAGTAGATTAAATCTGTGTACACAAAGTAGTACAAGCCGGTAGAAAAATTCTTGACAGAATTTAATATGCGGAGCAGAGAACTAAAGAAAATAGCACCTGATAGTATCCTTGTGCACGTAGCAATTGATCGAGTAAAAATAGTCATGTAGTCTTCACGTGACGTATACTAGTACTGGCTGATGAAAGTACTAGTTCTTAATCGATGATGAAATAAAAAAACAAATCTGAGCTTAGCTTCACGTGAAGGAACGATGGACAGATCAGTCTCCTCGCCAGAAACAAATAGCAGCAGCGTAACAGCCTCGGGACTTGGTACTGCACGTGGAGCCGACAGCGGCAATTCGATGGAACGGCCAGCTGATGTGGACGCTGCGTACGGGGCAGTAGCGGCAACACGGCAGAACAACAGATCAAAGTCAAACCGATTGAATCGGTGGCAGCGGAAAGAGACCTCGGCTCGGCTTCTTGCAAATCGATCCGGCTCTGGATTCGAGGGATCGCCGGTCGCGTGCGGCGGCATAAGACGCAACCCTAATCTGTCGTCTCTGATCCCGTATCTGTAACTTGGCTCTGTATACCACTTGTTAGATAATAACGAGAAATAAACGAGACAGAGAGACACGGATTTTTACGTGGAAACCCTTGAGGGAGAAAACCATGGACGTACGAAGGCGCAATCACTATGAGGAGGAGTATTACAAGTACAAGACGACAGACCGTCTGAAGTGCGACTACATGGGATATATAAGACGGCAATACATGAGAGTCCTTGGAGGACAAATAAACGAGTTGTACTCGTACGCGTCGACGTCAACGCAAAGGCCCACACCGTTTGTACTACGTCTAGTCCAACACGGCACTAGAATTTAGATCATAATTTAACATTCTTGGCAGCTGATTGCACTTGAAGCCCAACTAGATGCTCACTTGAAACCCAACTCACGGATAGATTCTGTAGTTCGGGTGCATAATTTCCAGATTCTGGAGTTTCTTCCTTTCAGTTTTCTTGGATGTTGCGATATATGGTTCAGAACCTCATTTGGAGATTTGGTCGGCACCATGCATAGAATTGGTAGTCATTTTGGTTAGTTTCATTGGCACTTTGCAGCAGCAGTTTCCAGCTGATATAGATACCATATGACCTGCTTACTGTTTAGCATGAATTATTTGTGTTCTTCTTCGCTCTAATATTATTTTGGAGTAGGGCGTTCCGGTGCCCAGGCTCATCTGCATCTGGTTAGAAAAAAAATCATAAAAAATTCAAAACAAAACCAAAAAAATTCAAAAAAAAAATTGTGCGGTAGAAAATTTGATGCGTGAGGCCCGCTCCAAATTTGAAGTCATTTGGACATCTAAGAAGCTCATAGCAAAAAAGACAAATCAGGCCAAAACAGTACATGAACATTAAACTTTTTTACAGACCCTCACATTGTTTTTTTTGCTGAGAGCTCCTCAGATGTCTAAATGATTTGAAAATTGGAGCGGGCCTCACGCATCAAATTGTCTACCGCACAATTTTTTTTTGAATTTTTTGAATTTTTCTAGTATTTGTTTTGATTTTTTTCATCAGCGTGGATGCAGATGAGCTCGGGTGCAGAGATGGATTTTTGATGTGTGTCTACTTAAGTACTTGTATAAATGAAAGGCCATGAATCAGGTTAACACTCTATACTGAATCTTGTAAATATCTGTGTAGGTGAGAGAAAAATGGATCAAGGAAGATCTGCTGTGAATTTGATTCCGACTGTGAGGATTCTACTTTAGTGAAATCGTGCTGCTATAACTTGAACGCACGAGGAAGATGAGGGGGTAATTCTTATGAATTCCCCCTCTTTACGATCGAGCATTCCAGAGATAGCATGTGGTTGAAGTGCTAGTCTGCTACACCAACTCACTCTCCCCCGCATACTCCACACCAGATTTCAGTTAAATCCTGCTCATCTGCCATGTCATTTGCCGGCGTGTCTCTCATCGTCGAAGGCAAGGCTGTCGGCCACACCATCGATGTCTCCACGGCAAGCGGGTACCATCTGCTTGTGGTTGATGACTACTCGCACATCAAAGCAAACTACACCTAATGGAAAGGGGGTCTTCTCTCTCCCTTTCATGGTAGGAGGCCATCGTTGGAGAATCAGCTACTGTCCTAATGGCCTCCTCTCAGAGAGTGCCAACTCTGCATCTCTCTTTCTTTCCCTTCTTGATGAAAATGTTACGAAGGCTCTGAAGGTGCAGTACGGATTTAGTTTCGTCGACGAGGTTGAGAAGCAGGATTCAGCATTTTTTCGTGCATTGAAGCCAAGGAACTTCTCCAGCAGTGTTCGATTTTGGGGTCACATGGATTTCATGAAAATAGAAGCTCTTGAGAAATCAAACCATCTAAAGGATGATTGTTTCACCATCCGATGTGACCTCGCTGTTGCCACCACAGTTGATCTCCTCATCAAGGTACCGCCTTCTAGCATACAACGGCATATCAGCAACCTCCTCCTGTCCAAGGAAGGCACAGACGTGACATTCATTGTGTCCTGTGAGAAGTTTGCTGCCCACAGGTGCGTGCTTGCAGCTCGGTCAGCGGTCTTCAAGGCAGAGCTGTTTGGCTCCATGAAGGAGGGCACTGTAGCAAGTGTCATATATGTAGAAGACATGGAAGCAAAGGTGTTTAGCGCCTTGCTTGAATTTATTTACACCGACACGCTACCTGATATGGAGATAGACATGGGGGAGGAGGAAGGGGGAGCCCAAGAAGCATTGTTTTTGCAGCACTTGCTTGCAGCGGCGGATAGGTACGATCTCCAAAGGCTGAAAGCACTATGCGAAAAAAAGCTATGCAAACACATAGGTGTTGGCTCAGTGACGACTATCCTTGCTCTGGCTGAGCAGCACAGCTGTTCTGGATTGAAGGAGGTTTGCTTTGAGTTCATCAAGACTCCTGCTAATTTGAAAGAGATAACGGCGGCTGATGGCCTGGAGGGCATAACTAGAACATGTCCCTCTCTTCTAAAGGAGCTCATTGCTAAGTTTACATCCTAAAATGTATAAGAACGGTTAGTTTTTTTTTCTGTATTTTTTAATATACTGTTTTGATATTTATGTTTCTAGGTTGTACTTTTGTTTCCTTTGGCACCAGTCAGTTAGTGTGACTTCATGTTATGCCAGAAAACATTTTAATTGGTTGCATCATCTGCGCTTTGGGAAAAGAAAATGGATGTATCATGCCCAGCCCATCAATCCGAGATTTTATTTTTCCAATTCAGAGAAGCAACATACCGTCATGTCTCGCTGTGTGTCTTTTCTTGATAGTTTGCGACATACTGTATGAACATTCTGTTTCTTTCTTTTCAGGCAGGAACTCAGTGGCAGAGTCATAGCGATGGGTGAGCTGGACGGACAGTCAAGCTACATCATGGTGCCCTTCCGTTGTCGAAGATATCGGCGCTAAACTGTCGCTGAAGGATAACCAGTGGTTTGTACTGTTGTCAGTTCCTATCTGAAACTTGTTTTGTCAACAAGGCATATTTTACCCTAGAGAGAGATCAACTGCAGCAATGTGCCAGTAGTATCGTTGATTTCGGCTAGAACAGTTTGGCAACTGGACAGCCTGTGCTCCATCTGTTTCAGTATTCCTATGGAAACTGCTTGGTTTCATCCGGATGCAGACGACTCGCTCGCGCAGCCGTCTTCTTTGACTGCCACGCGTCACATAGAGCCCACCACCGCTTTATTCTTTCTCTCCCTTATCCTGTCATGTGATCATTTTCAGCCAGACGTCCTCCCTCTTCCTGTTCAAACCATCTTCTCCCCTCCCATTTCTTCTCTTCCATCGGGCGGGGATCTCACCCACCATGGATGCCCTCCACAAGCTCTTTTTTTAAGTGATTCGAGGGTGCTGCGAGGGGGGCGGTTCGGCTGCGACGGCGACCTGATGCTGCGACGGGATTGCGACGGTGACCCGATGCTGCGACAAGATCTCGACTGCTCCGGTGATGCTGCGACGGCGCCGCCGCGCCGTGCTGCGACGGCCGTCGACATTTGGACGGCGTCATCGTGCTGCGATTCGTGCTGCGACGACATCTCGGCAACGGCGGCTCAACTGCTGCGACAGCGATTCGAACTGCTCCGGCGATGTTTGCGACGATGCCGGCGATGCTGCGACGACGCCGTCGTGCTTCGAGCCAGTGCTGCGACAATCATCGACAAGTAACGAGAGGGTGCTGCGACGCCACCGCCGATGCTGCGAGGCCGCCGGAGCTGCTACGACGGGTGGAGTTGCTGCGAGCCGGTGCTGCCGGCGCCGTCATGCTGCGAGCCAGTGGTGCGACGCCACCGCTGTGCAGCGAGTTGATGCTGAGAGGCCGCCGGAGTTGATACGACGGGTGGCGTTGCTGCCGGCGCTGCCGTGCAGGCCGCCAGAGTTGCTAGGCGTCATGGTCATGGCTGTGTTATGCGATGGGAAGAACAGAGGGAGGGAAGACTGCGTTGACTTCCATCGGCGGCTAGGGACACCCAGATCGTACGGTTCAGGTGGATGTTGTTTTCTTTTTGCATCCGCATGACGCCTAGCAGCCTCCTATTCCTATCCAATTCCAATCTCCGTGACTTGCTACATTCAAATTCAATCAAAGCTGCAGATAGATTGAGTTTTTTTTATGTAGACTGGGGGATCAAGATTTACCGCCGCTTGTCCAAATAACCAACCTGTCCGCGTGTCAGTCTCGGCTTCTTTTTAGAGTCCGGGTGTGTTACGGCGTTGTATGTCGGCGTCTATATATACATACATACATACATACACAACGTGATGTGAATCGACCTGCTCGTCTGGGTGCGACGTGCGTGTTTTGTTCGTCAACTCCGGCGACTCGCACAGGAGACTCGTCGGTTATATTCTGCCCGTCCGCCATGTCGTTCGCCGGCGTCTCTATCACCCGCTACGCTGGTGACACCGCCACCGGCCACGCCGTCGACGTCTCCACGGCCAGCGGGTACCACCTGTTTGTGGTCACCGATTATTACTTGCGTACGAAAGCCTCTGTGCCTCCTGGCAAGGCGATCGCGTCTCTCCCTTTCACGGTAGGAGGCCGCCGTTGGTCCATCCGCTGCTTCCCTAACGGCGACACCTCGGAAAGCAGCCAATACATCTCTCTCTATCTGCACCTTGTCGATAAAGATGTCACAGAGGCTGTGAAGGTGCACTACTCCTTTAGCTTCGTCGACGAGGTTGAAAACCAAGGCCCCGCATGTGTTCGAGCCAAAAAGGCACACGATTTCTCCAGCTGCCATGCGACATGGGGCCATAAGTATTTTTGGAAAAGAGACGACCTCGAGAAGTCAAGTCATCTCAAGGGCAATTGCTTCACCATCCGATGCGACCTCGCCGTCGCCACCACGTTTGATCGCTTCATCACGGTGCCGCCTTCCAGCATACAACGGCATATCATGAACCTCCTCCTGTCCAAGGAGGGCACCGACGTGACGTTCAGCGTCGGCGGCGAGACGATCGTCGCGCACCGGTGCGTGCTTGCCGCTCGGTCTTCGGTCTTCAAGGCAGAGCTCTTTGGCCCCATGATGGAAGGCACGGTAGCAAGCGTCATACAAATAGAAGACATGGAGGCGAGAGTGTTTAGGGCATTGCTTAGCTTTATTTACACCGACTCGTTACCCGACATAGAGGTCGACAACGTGGAGGAAAGAGAAGCCCAAGAATTGTTGTGGCTGCAGCATTTGCTTGCAGCGGCAGATAGATACGATCTCCAAAGGCTGAAGGTACTATGTGAAGAAAAGTTATGCAAACACATAGCCGTGAGCTCGGTCAGAACTATTTTTATTCTAGCTGAGCGGCACAGCTGTGGTGGACTGAAGGAGGTATGCCTTGAGTTCCTCAAGACACCGTCTAATTTGAAAGAGATAACGGCGGCTGAAGTCTTCGACGACATAATTAGTACATGCCCCTATCTTTTAAAGGAGCTCATTGCCAAGTTTGCTTCCTAAAATCGACAAAACCGGTTAGTTCCTGAAAACCTATGTTTCAAAGTTGAAGCCTTACTTTCTGGCCACCATTAGATGTCATGTTGTTTGAGTAAGACATTTTTTTTCTTTCATGCGGCAGGTCAGGTGAAGGCGATGTGATGGCCTGTACAATGTAACTACATGATACCCATATGATCCGTTCTCAAAGATATTGTTGACAAACTTGCTACCCTTAAGGATTACTACTAGTCATGGATTTTGGCAAATTTGAACCGCCATTCAACGAATGGGTGCACTTATGAAAATCTATTGCTTGTGATCGATTAACAATATGGATTTAATGATTAAATGTTTTCAGTTTTTTTAAATTTTAGGTTACTCAAGGCAAGATGGAAAATCCTCTGCCTAGTTTGTTTACGCTTTGGTTTGTTTGGTGCGTAATGATTCAAATGAAGAGCTTAGTGTAGTCTGATAAAATAAGAGTCCTAGCCATGTTGATCGAGTTGACCATTCCTCGTCGTTTGCCCGCGGGACCCACTATCAATGGCTTCTTGTACCAAGCGATGTGTATACTATACTAGAGCAAACGCGCGCTTCGTCATCGTCTTTCATCGTCTTTCATTGATGTTGTTATGCCATGGATCTTTCGTGCTCATATTGGACATCACAGTGGCATATATTTTGTTGCGTTGGTGCTAAACATGAATTAGTACATGGCATCATGATGAGAAACTCCTCCAAAGACGAGGGTCTTCTTGCCTCCCGCCGCCGCCGCCGTTGATCCACCTTGTCTCCGGTGGCCTTAGGGCCATGGAGGTGTGGTGGACCTCGGCCCTAGCCGGTGGGAGGGCTCCTGCTATGTTTGTAGGTTTTCTTTCAGGGTTGATTAGGGTTTATATCCTATTTAGGAAGGCGAGACGGTGGCGGCTCCCTGTAGTTGGAATAAGGTCCTCCTGCCTAATCCCCGGCGTATCTCGCAGGATTCGGCTGGTGTTGATCTACGGTGGATCTCCATGGATTCAGTCTTGGTGCGTTTACGTTCATGTGTACTGGTTGGATTCTTCTAATCTACACTTCTCTTCATCGACGGCGGTTGATGTTCTTGTGCGCTGGTTCTGTGGGGCCTTAGCACGACGACTTCCTGACTGTTTGCTACAACGAGTTTTGCCTGGCTCCGGTGAAGGAGGGGCGATGACAGCGGCGCGCCTTCGGCTCGCACCGGTGTTTGTAGTCGTTGTTAGGTGGTCAATTGATCTGGATGTAATTTTTATAATTCTAGTGTTCTTTGTACTGCCATGACAGTTCATGAATAGATTTGAAGTTTTCTCAAAAAAAATGTGGCATCATGATTTTTGTGTGGATAAATAAGAGATATGTTTCACGACAGTGCAACATTACACTTAGGTCATATGTTTGTTTGGGCTGCGGCTGAACGAGAAGCGGCTAGAGCTGGTAGAAGCCGAGAAGCAAGATGGAGCTAGTACAAGCTGAGAAGCCAAAAAAACCTGTTTGGTACTATTTTAGGACGATAGGTGAGGCTGTAGCTGGTGGTGAAAATCTACAATGCCCCTGTATGCTAAAGATGTTATTTAAATACTGATTTATTAAGTTATGCTGTATAGTAGCCCAAATAATGCTTAGAACATCTTCAAGGCGGACCCTCAAACCGTCCACATACGTCTGGACCGCGTGGTATGGACCACGGAAGCCATCCAATGCGGGTCTGTATCGGTCCACCGAGCGTACCGGGCGTACTTTTTCTGGCAAACCCAAGACAAGCGTGGGGGTGGCTTTGTTGGAGTCCAGTCAGTAGACATGTAGGACTCCAACAGCCCCGGCCCACCCAAAAACCTTCCCGGACCCCGCACCTCCATCCTCCCCATTTTTTCTTCTTTCTCTCTCTCTTACCTCCGCCGCCGCTCCACCATCCTGGCCGCCACGCAACACCCTTGTCGGAACTATACGTCTCTGCCACCTCAAACGTTCCAGTCGGGCTCCACCCCGCTTCTCCTTCGTCGCCGTACCATCTGCTACTGCTATACTCACCATGCCCGGCAACTATTAAATGATTTGCCGGAGCTCAAAAAGTTGTTCCTTCTTCTTTCAAACAATGGATTCCAATTTGGAGTACATATATGAGCACTATGTTGAGCCGTCCGACGAGGACGACTGCACGGATGAGACGGCGATGATGTAGGCGATCCTTGAAGACGCGGAGCATGCGGAGGAGCATGTTCCCAATTTTAAGTGGTTGATCAAGGGTCATCGAGCGCTCAACCGCAACAGGGTGCGCGACCATTTGACACTGATGACTGACTAATTTGCCCCCGATACACTCTTCGATGACCATTTTTGCCGGCATTTTCGGATGCGCAAGACTGTCTTCAATCGTTTGTACCATTGCGTCCGGATGCTTGCATATTGCACGACCGGTAATTCGTGGGCCCGAGTATCTACGTATGTTTGAGAGCACATGTGGAGATACCATGGTTAGGTTTGCAACTGTCGAAGTCAAGGTGCTTGGACCTCAGTATCTGAGAGAACCAACTTTGACAAACACCGAGAGGCTCTTGGAAATCTCAAAAGCAATAGGGTGGCTAGGTTTGCTTGTATCTCTTGACTGCATATGCATTGGAAATTGAAGAACTGTGCAAAGGATTTACAAGGGCAATACTAGAGTCATGTTAAGAAGCCCACCATCATTCTTGAAGCAGTTGCATCACATGATCTTTGGATTTGGCACGTTTTCTTTGGCATGCCGGGTCTCGCAATGACATCAATGTGTTGCACCGATCACCGTTGACTGTGAGGCTGACTAAAGGAAAAGCTCCTCCTTGCCACTATACTGTCAATGGACATGAGTACAACATGGGCAACTATCTGGTTGACGGTATCTATCCTTCATGGGCTACCTTTGTCAACACCATCTCTAACCCAGTTGGCCAGAAAAAAGTCTCAGTTTACCCTAGACAAGAAGCAGCTAAAAAAGGATGTCGAGAGGGCATTTGGAGTTCTGCAGGCCCGTTTTGCAGTTGTTCGTGGACCTGCTAAATAATGGGATTAGGAGACCTTGTGGGAGGTGATGACATGTTGTGTGATCATGCACAACATGATCATCGAGGATGAGGGCGAGGTGCTGCCGCAACTCAAGAATTTGAGAACATGGGTGATTCTATCAAACGTCCAGACCAGAATCCGACCATATTTGAAAATTTTATTCAAATGCATCTACAAATTCGGCATCGACCAACTCACGAGCAACTAAAGAAAGATCTGATTGTGCATCAGTGGGTGGTTAAAGGGGACAACAATGTCAGAATGTAATATTTGTTTTTTTAATTTGATGTAATTCGATGCCAAACTGTTATTTAATGTTTTAAGCAAGATAACATGATGTAGACAAGATAAACCCACATATGAATAAACCCCATCTTGTTACCCTTAATAGAAATTATACATGTGTGTCATGTCTCTTTCTGTCATTGAGATTGAGCACCGCAAGATCGAACACATCGCAAAGCACCTCTTCCCATGGCAACATAAATCAATCTAGTTGGCCAAACCAAACCAATAATTCGGAGAAGAAATATAACAATCATGCATAAAAGAGTTTAGTGGATAGATCTGATCACAAACTCACAATTCATCGGACCCAATAAACACATCGCAAAAAGTCATTACATCAAATAGATCTCCAAGAACATCAAGGAGAACATTGTATTGAAGATCAAAAAAAGAGAAGAAGCCATCTAGCTGTTGGGGAACGTAGTAATTTCAAAAAAAATCCTACGCACACGCAAGATCATGGTGATGCATAGCAACAAGAGGGGAGAGTGTCGTCCACGTACCCTCGTAAACCGTAAGCGGAAGCGTTATGACAACGTGGTTGATGTAGTCGTACGTCTTCACGATCGACCAATCCTAGTACCGAACGTACGTCACCTCCGCGATCAGCACACGTTCAGCTCGGTGACGTCCCACGAACTCATGATCCAGTAGAGCTTCGAGGGAGAGTTCTGTCAGCACAACGGCGTGACGACAGTGTTGATGAAGCTACCGACACAGGGCTTCGCCTAAGCACCGCTACGATATGACCGAGGTGGATTATGGTGGAGGGGGGCACCGCACACGGCTAAAAGATCAATGTTCAACTTGTGTCTATGGGGTGCCCCCTCCCCCGTATATAAAGGAGTGGAGGAGGGGGAGGGCCGGCCCTCTACTATGGCGCGCCCTAGGGAGTCCTACTCCCACCGGGAGTAGGATTCCCCCCTTCCAAGTAGTAGGAGTAGGAGAGAAGGAAAGGGAAGAGAGAAGAGAAGGAAGGAGGGGGCGCCGCCCCTCCACCTAGTCCAATTCGGACTAGGCCTTGGGGGGCGCGTGGCCTGCCCTCTCTCTCTCCCTTAAAGCCCAATAAGGCCCATATACTCCCCGGCGAATTCCCGTAGCTCTACGGTACTCCGATAAATATCCAAACCACTCAGAACCTTTCCGACATCCGAATATAGCCTTCCAATATTATCGATCTTTACACCTTGAACATTTCGAGACTCTCGTCATGTACATGATCTCATCCGGGACTCTGAACTACCTTCGGTACATCAAATCACATAACTCATAATACAAATCGTCATCGAACGTTAAGCGTGCGGACCCTACGGGTTCGAGAACTATGTAGACATGACCGAGACTCATCTCCGGTCAATAACCAATAGCGAAACCTGGATGCTCATATTGGCTCCCACATATTCTACGAAGATCTTTATCGGTCAAACCGCATAACAACTTACGTTGTTCCCTTTGTCATCAGTATGTTACTTGCCTGAGATTCGATCGTCGGTATCTCAATACCTAGTTCAATCTTGTTACCGGCAGGTCTCTTTACTCGTTCCATAATGCGTCATTCCGCAACTAACTCATTAGTCACATTGCTTGCAAGGCTTATAGTGATGTGCATTACTAAGAGGGCCCAAAGATACCTCTCCGACAATCGGAGTGACAAATCCTAATCTCGATCTATGCCA